TTTCTTTCTTTCTTTCTTTCTTTCTTTCTTTCTTTCTTTCTTTCTTTCTTTCTTTCTTTCTTTCTTTCTTTCTTTCTTTCTTTCTTTCTGAGACAGGGTCTTGCTAAGTTACTGAGGGTTTTTCTAAGGTTCTGAGGCTGGCCTCAAAGTTGTTATCCTCCTGTTTAAGCCTCTGAAGTCCTGGGCTTACAGGCATATGCCACCGTGCCTGAACTCTATGAGGGTATTTGTCAACAGCAACCAAAACAAAAAGCCAGAAGGAAAACAAAGGTGTATATAAAAGTGACTAAACCTTATTTTCTAACAGATGGCTCAAATGACTGAAATTATTTTCTAACAGATGGCTTACAAAATTTGATCCTGCTTAATCTGAACAGAAATCAGCTTACGTGGCTTCCTCAAGAAGTTAGCAAGTAAGTTGTTCATGGCAAGACTTGGTTAAACATTGCCCCCTTCTCTCCATCCCCATTCAGATCCTCTGAAAGCATGGCGTCCAGCCTCGTGTCCTTGGGGGATTTATACACAACACAAAGGTTCTGAGAGACTGAAGTAAGATGATGATTTCAAGCAGATGATTCCCTCAATACTTAAGAGAACCCAGAAACAACATGACTTGGGTAGTCTAAGTGGAAAAGTGGGGGTTTGAAACAAAGTTCTAAAACTGATGTTGTTATGGATTTCTCAACTCTGGGATTCTTAGCACTTGCTCAGCCACAGAATTGGGGGCATTAAATTTTATTTTATATGAGTGTAGTAAACCATTATGAGCTTGAGGGAAAAGGTAATATAAAAGCAAAGGATTTAAAACTACTATGTCATTTTCATTAAAAAAAAAAAGAAAAAAGAAACACCCACCCATTTTATTATCACTAACAACAGCAACAAAAAATGCTGTTTTCTCCTATCCTGCACATCTGTGCCGACAGGCTGCCATTACAGTGCCTTTCCGGAGCCAGCTGAGGGTCTCATCTTTCTGCAGGCAAAACACCCTCTTGGGCTTTTCCTCTGACAGATGGAGAGAGAACTCTGTTCAGGTTTACTTTGGAGACTCTCTTTATTGCCTGTTGAACAGAAACAGATGCATTACAAAGTAAGAGCATCCAGATTTTATGGGAGGTTATGAAACTACGAATAGTTGTCCACGCAGGGCTTTCTGCAGTACCTAAAGTCTGTTCCAATTCACTTGTCTATACCTCCAGCTGAGGTATTATCTTTTACAAAGAGACTTTTATAAGGAAAGTAATATTATAAGGCAGGGCACCTAGAAAAAATTGAATTAATTTAATTTGTATAGAGGAGAAATATATATAGTAATTAAAATGCCAATAATTGGCTTCCTCCCCTCTTATTCAGCTCATCAATTGATTTATGTATTGATGATGACATAATAACCAGAGGGTCACCTTAAAAGATCTGGTGAATGAGGTTTAAGACATATCTTTGTGCAACCAACCATATGACCTTGGGCAAATAATTTAACTGCCTAGGACCTCATTTTTCTCATCCCTTAACAGAAGAATTTTGACTATCTGAACATCAAAGGCCTTGCAGCTATAGTTTGTTATAATTTCATAATTCATAAAGCTTATTTCTATTTGCAGTAGGATGTACAATATTCAAGGAATCATAAATCTCAGGTGATATGTTGAAAAGTGAAGGACAACTTTCTCTGAAAAAGTAGGATGGTGAACTCGACAGGCCTCAGTTACTTTCGAGCTGGTTTTGGGTTGTCTGTATTCTTGCTTGGCCCTACATGCAAGCTGATCAGTCATCTCCCCAAGCAGAATTCCATTTCCTGACCTTGAAGAAGTTTCTTCCCCTTTCCACTCCTTAAATGTCTTCCTCTGCACCATGAGGATGAAAACAGTACCCACTTTATAGGGTTGTTCTGAGATTCAAATATGTTAATCCATAAAAGGGATTTAGGATTGAGTAAGTGCTCTGATGGATGTTAGCTTTTATTATTATGGGAAGCTATTTTTAGTCTAACTCTTTTTCTATTTCCCTCATTCACCTCTTCCCACAGACAAAAGAGTGACTCAGTGAATTTGGGAAGAGCATTGGACACGCATGGCTTTATGGCTCCTCTCCCCCCACTCTCAAGTTAGCAGTCACTTCAGCAGGAAAGCCTATGAATTAAAGTTCAATTCAGAAGAGGGCTAGTAAAGAATCTGAGAAGAATCAGGGCAGCGCTATGCTTCTCCTTCTGAGTCCTGTCTTATTTCTCAATTTGTTTAGAATCCAGAAGAGATATAGAGAAAAAGAGGATGTGTGGTGTTTTGGCTTGCTTAAGCCACATGAGCTTACTGTCAAAGCAGGGGAGGTGAGAGTTTTACCCCTGAAGGACTTTGTCATAGGTGGATCTTCACAGCTCCACAAGGAGGAGAATGTAGGCATCCTGGAGACAGAATCTCTGAAAGACAGGCAAAGTGGAAGGAACCAAGCCAAAGGACTCATTTTGTCCAAATTCACCACTAGTGAGGTTGTTATGTGAACAGCCATTCATCAGCTCACTGGGGAGGAAGGAGGACAAGAAAAGCTGTAAGTGTAGTTCCTCCTCAGTTATTCTTTGGAAAAGTAATTTTCCCTGCTCTGAAGAAATGCAACCAAAATGGATTTCCCTCTCCTTTTAACTCCCCACCAAGTGCATGCTGAACACATTTGTAACAGACCCTGAGTTCATTTTAGTGCCTTGAAGTAAAAAAGAAAGAAAAGCCAACTCCCATATAGTAATCCAGAATAAAGTCAATTAAACTAATGATGATACCATGATAAAAATCAAACAGGGCCGAGTTCTGTTTCCCCAGATGTGAAGACTGAACACCCAAGAAACGCTGAGGTGTAGGAAGCAAGTTTTATTTGAAGGATAGAACAGAGATAGACTTCTTCTCAGAGAAGGGGCCCCAGAGCGGGATATCCAAAGTGTGGGGGGGTGTCTTGTCCCTTTTATACATTGGGAATTCCTTTGTTCTCATGTTCTCCTCCCCTTATCTTGCCTCTCTCCTCTCCCCATCTGGCTATGTGACAAATCACTCAAAAGATGGGCCAAGAGTGAACCAAGCAGGAAGGTAGCAGCCCAGGAAGCATTAATTAACAACTCCTACCACTCCTTGCAGGGTGAAACAATCCCTGGGGCAGGTTACCTTAGCAACAGGTTGGAGGAGGAAGGGGAAGGGCTTTGAAAATGTCAGCATTTGATTTCCTTTCCTTTCTAACCAGCCCCCCCACCCCATCTTGCTGATCAGATTCAATTATTCATTTTCTACATTGACTGCCTTTTGCCCCCCCCAACCTGCTTCAATGATTATAAAAATGACTAATAAAGAAAACTCTCCATCCCTTTCTTCATAGAACCTACTCACAAAATTCCACTCCCTTTCAATCTGAGTTTTTCTTATATGACCCTTTGTACTCCCTGCAAATGAGTCTGTTTTTTACTTTACCTAGAATTTTGAGCTCCCTCAGTTCCCTTCTTTCAACCCCTTTGTCTTCATTGATCAAACTTCTTTTCTTTCTCTCTGGCTCTCTCATGGTCTCTCTAAGGTGCTCTTTCCATAGCTTTTGTTCATTCTTTCCTGCCCTCCATTTTATTGTAAATCCTTTTCAAAGGTCAAAAATGTACTTAAGTTAGCCAAATCTTATGGCATTTTCTCTCTGCTGAATTAAAATCACATAAAATTCATGACGGTATACTTCAAAGAGTTTTGACAAAAATACAAACATCAATAATTAATAGAATATTTCCTATAATCTAGTGATTTCCTCATGTTCCCTTCTAGTGGATTTTTACTTCTCGTAAGCAACTAATACTGACTTTTATCTCTACAAGTAAGTTTTACCTGTTGTAGAACTAAATGAATGGAATCATACAGTATATAAAAATTCTTTTGTGTTTGTCTTATTTTGTTTAGTGCATATATATATATATATATATAATTTTTTTGTCTTTTGTTTAGTGCATATAATATATATATAGAGAGAAATAGAGAGAGAAATAGAAAAGAGAGAGAAATAGAAAGAAATAGGAGAGAAGAGAGAGAGAGAGAGAGAGAGAGAGAGAGAGAGATTCATCTTATGATGCTTTTATCAATAGCTCATTTTTTTTGTTTATCCTAAATGGCATTTTATTGCATGAATGAGCTGTAAAGCATTATATTTTTCTTCTGTTTATGCACATTTGGGTTGTTTTCAGTGTGGGGTTATTATGAATTAAGCAATCAAACATTCTTGTGCAAGTCTTTTTGTGGAGTTATGTTACTTCCATTTCAATTCCTAAGAGTGAAATTATAGAATCAAAAGGTAAAAGTGTAGGTATTATGTAACTTGTGAAAGATTTACCAAGTTTTAACAAAGTGTGTGCCTTTTTACATTCTAAACAGGGTTTTTAAAAATTGTATCCATTCTGGTATGTGTGAAGAAAAGTCTCATCATAGTTTCAGTTTGCATTTTCCTGATGGCTACCGACTTAAGCACCTTTTAATGATCTTATTCACTCTTTATATATCTTCTTTTGTGAAATATTTTTTGTCATTAAAAATATCTGTGTTGTTTCTTACAATTGAACTGTAAGGATTCTTTAATGCATTTGGGATACAAGTGCAATGACAGGTTCATGTACTGCAGATATTTTCTTCCAGTCTGCAGTTTATCTTTTAATTTTCTTAATGGTAACTTTTGATGGACTGAAGTTTTTAACTTTGATGATGGCAATTTATAAATATTTTTTCTTTTATGATTAGCGCTTTTGGAGAATCTTTTAAAAGAAACTTTTCCTGGCCAGACACAGTTGAAAATTATAATTATAATTCAGACACAGCGGCACAACCTGTAATCCCAATGGCTTACGACCCTGAGACATGAGTTCAAAGCCAGCCTCAGCAAAGGCAAGGTGCTAAGCAACTCAGTGAGACCCTGTCTCTAAATGAAATACAAAAGAGGGCTGGGGATGTGGTTTAGTGGTCCAGTGCCCCTGAGTTCTAACCCCAGTATCCCCCGACCACCCAAAAAAGAAATATTTTCCTATCCCAAAGTTTTCTATCTTTTGTTTTTCAATGATTGTAGTTTTAATTTTCATTGGGATCTATCATTCATCTTGAATTAATGTTTGTATATGCATGGTGGAAGAGGGTGGTCAAAGTTCATCCAGTTTCTAGAACATTTTGTTCAAAAACTCCCTCTTAATTGAATTGCTTTGACACCTTTGTCAAAAACCTATTGATCATTTATGGATCATTTGGACTTTATTTTGTTCTGTTGATTTATTTTTCTGTCTCAGCCCATTTGGGATGCTCTAACATACCATAAACTGGGTAGCTTATATACAATAGATTTTTTTCCTTATAATTCTAGAAGCTGGCAGATTTGATATCTGAGAGGACACATTTTCTGGTTCAGAGAACAGTGCCTTCTCCTTGTGTCCTCACATAGTAGAAGGGGCAAGGCCACTCTCTGGGGCCTTTTATATAAAGCTGTGATCCCATTTATGAAGGTTCCACCCTAATGACCTAATGGTCCCACCTTTTAATGATCTCCCAGTGGTGATGGGTCTCTAACATATGAATTTGGGTGGGTGGCGGGGACACAAATAGTGAATCCATTACACTATCATTTTTTTTTTTTCCAGGACTGAACTACCTTGGTTACTGTAGCTGCCTTGTAAGATCTGAAACTGGATTATAGGAATGCCTCCATACCTCCCCCTCCCCTTTCCTCTTTCTTTTCTTTCCTTCCTTCTTTTTAATTTTGTTTCTTTAGTACTAGTTCTTGCTATTCTGGGTCCTTTGAATTTCCATATAAATATTAAAATTGATTTGTCAATTTTAATGTCAAAAAGAACCCATTGAGATTTTTATTTGGATCTCTTACTGAATCTACAGATCTATTAATGGAAAAATTGACATGTTAGCAGTATTTTTTTCTTTCTACACTTGAATAAGATGGATCTCTACTTTTGTTTAGAATCCCTTTAAATTTTCTGAATTTATAAATTTTATAATTTATAGTTTTCAACATAAAGGTCCCTCATGTCTTTTGTTAAATGTTTTCTTACCTATTCTATAGAGAGTTTTAAAAATTATGTTTCTACAGATGGAATTCCTTAAACTCTACTTTCCGATTGTGGCTACAAGGTAGAGACAGAATAGATCTTTAGAATATTGACGTTATAATTTCTCTCTCTGCTTTCTGCCTTTAGTTTGTTAATTTCAACTATATCTCTTTGACATTTAAACTCAACATTTAAATTCTTGACCATCCCTTTGATTTTTAAGTACTCTTCTCCCACACCTTTAGAGATTACTACTTGATCTGAGTCTTTTTCTATTTCTCTACTCATGACTTGTCTGTGTGCCTTTAAGTTTTAATTGTCAGGTATTCATTTTTCTGAGGACTCCTCCTGTTGGCTTCCCCCACTCTCTTTCCCCGCCTCCATTTTCTTCTTTTTTTCTCCTGTCACTCACACGGTTTCCACCATTGTATGCATGGAGTCCCCTCTCAGTTGCTCTCACTGGTGTGATCCCTTCCCTAACCTCTAGTCTTACACTTTCAACTGCCTAAGAATAATAAGAGAAATAATTCTGACTTTGAGACCAGAGATGATACCCGTGTGGAGAATCAGATTCTAAGTCCCTGTTCCCCTGGGGCACCTGAAAAGCGCTGAGGAAAGAGCAAAATGACTCTTCCACAGAGGAGGGGGTCAAAAGCTGGTGCCCCAGGGAGTGAGGGAGTCCTTTTAGAGATTTCAGATTTCCTTTGTTCTTATGCCCCCTCTTCTCATTCTGCCCTCATAACCCCAAACATGGGATGATCCAAAGGCAGGAACAAGCCACCCAGGGGTACAGGCAGAAAGGGAGCCACCCAGGGGCTGGCTACTCATTCACAACTCCTTGTAGGAGGAATAATTCCCTGGAGGCAGGTAAACTTGGCAACAGGTTGGAGGAGGGGGAAGTCTCTGGAGGTATTAGCATTTTATTTCCTTTTGAATCAGCCCCCATCTTCCTCACCCAGTCATTCACTACCTATAGGACTGTCCTTTTGTCCACTGGCCTCAACTTCAGGGTTATACTGATTATTATATTTAATATACAATTCATGCTTCGTGGTAACAATTCCCTTCTGTTTCCTTATTCATAACATTTTTATAGCTCAGCATTCCCTCTTGTGGTTTTCCTCTTTTACTAGTTCTATTTTTCAGAATAAAATAAAAAATGTTAGTTCTTCCAAAAAAAACTTGTGATACACCTCAAGTGCAATATCTGCCATAGTAGACTCACATTTCCTTCATGTTCATTTCCCTATCATCTTCCTTTCTTTTAAAAAAATTTTTTTAGTACCTAGTGGTATTTTCCTTCTGAGTCACATCTCTGGTTCTTTTTATTTTTTTATTTTGAGACAAGGTCTCACTAAGTTGCTTAGAGCCTCATTAAGTTGCTGAGGTTGGCTTTGAAATGGGGATCATGGGGGATCCTCTGCCTCAGCCTCCAGAGCCTCTGGGATTCAGGTATACACCACTGCACCTGGCTATCCAGTACATTTTTTATCTTCACTTTCTGGTTTTAATGTCTTTTTCTAAACTGTGGTATCCGAAAGAGCAAAATTTGTGGTTGATTCATCTTTGTGTATTCCAGAGCAAAAAATTAATACTGCTTGGTACTAGATATGTCTTTACTATTTATCTATATCTATTTATACCTATATCTCTATCTATCCATCCACATGTATATGCATGTCTTTCTTTGTCCTCTAGCTTCCTTTTTGATAGTTAATGTATAAGTATAAAGATTGAAAATAAAATTTTACTTTTAAAAAAATCTATATATTTATTATATAACATACTTATGACATAGCCATCTGATTATAAAGAAATCCTTTTTTAATATTTATTTTTTAGTTGTAGCTGGATACAATACCCTTATTTATTTATTTTTATGTGGTGCTGAGGATCAAACCTAGGGCATCACCTGTGTTAGGCAAGTGCTCTACTGCTGAGCAACAACCCAATCTCCAAAAAAGAAATCTTTAAAAATTAAATTTCAGCAAAGACTTTTTTGCTAAAATGACTTACAGTAGATGTGAACACTTGACTAAAGTGAACCTCAGATGAGGTACGTAAAATAAGTGACACATGGCTTCTGATGGGTCGTGCCTGTACTGTGGATTCTCTTATTATGAATTTCATTCATATGCTTTTTTTTTTTAAGATTAAAAAGCCTTACACATCTGAGTTTAAATTGCAATAAGCTAGTCAGCATTCCCACAGAACTTTGTCTCCTTAAGAATCTTCGTGAACTTCAACTTAACTACAATGAACTCAGTTGCATACCTGAAGAGATTAAGTTCTTGAAGAAGCTCCAGAAGTTTCTTCTGGTCAGGAACTACATTGAGGTTTTGCCAGAGGTAAGCAAAGCATGGAACCTTGTGTTTTTGTTTTGTTTAAGTGAGTAGTATATATGTTTAATCTATAACCATCTATATAGAATAAAGCACAGGTTCATTTGAAATATGTGCTGGATGTCTTCCATTTTTTCTCTTTATCTGTCATCAATTCTTTACAACCTGCTCTGTGCCTGGGCAGTTTATTAGTTATAGGCATCTAACAAAGGAGTTAGAGCTCCTTTGTCCTCTGGCTTCTTCTTGGATATAATCAATGATATCCGTTAGCTCAGAATGAAAGGGCAGGAGAGAGAGAGAACCAGAAGCAATTACTATGGCACCTTCTCTGGCAGGGTGAGCTAGGTTTAAGGAGCCACTTTTCTAAGGTTTGAGGAACCTTAGCTTTCTTAAAACTAGTCTTTTATAAATAGTGCCTTTACTAAACTTTCCTCAGATTTCCCAGTTTGAGAGTTCTATTCTACCAGGAACATGTCAATACATTTACCTTCCTTCCTTATGCAAATTAGAAATAATTTGACAAGGAATGCATGTTGTACAGCAAATCAAGGAACAAAAAATTAGCAGATTAGAGCAGTTTATGCTAAGTGAAGCTTGCCAATCCCTAAAAAACAAATGCCAAATGTCATCTTTGATATAAGGAGAGCAACTAAGAACAGAGCAGGGAGGAAGAGCATGAGAAGAAGATTAACATTAAACAGGAACGAGAGGTGGGAGGGAAAGGGAGAGAGAAGGGAAATTGCATGAAAATGGAAGGAGATCCTCATCGTTTTACAAAATTACATATAAGAGGAAGTGAGGGGAAAGTGGGAAAAAAAAACAAGGGAGAGAAATGTATTACAGTAGATGGGATAGAGAGAGAAGATGGGAGGGGAGTGGAGGGGAGGGGAGGGGGAATAGTAGAGGATAGGAAGGGCAGCAGAATACAACAGACACTAGTATGGCAGTATGTAAAAATGTGGATGTGTAACCGATGTGATTCTGCAATCTATATATGGGGGAAAATTGGGAGTTCATAACCCACTTGAATCAAATGTATGAAATATGATATGTCAAGAGCTTTGCAATGTTTTGAACAACCAATAAAAAAAAATAAAGGACTGTGGGTGTAGTTTGATGGCAAAGCACCCCTGATTCAGTCCTCAGTACCACAGGAAAAAAAAATTAAAATAAAAAGAGTAATAACTTGCAAATTGGTTCTAAAAAAAATTAGCAGATTGATTAGGCACGTATATAAGTGAAAACTCCCTACCATTTCACTTTTCTTTTATAAGAATAATACTTTTAAAATTTTTATCTATACTATAATCTGTGATGACATGGTGGTAGGCTGTAACTGAGTAAATTTCAAAAATTTTATTCTAAAAATTCCAATTTCTGTAAACGCATAATAAATGTTAAAATTATAAAATAAATCTATTAAAACAAATTTTTGTTTGAGGGAAATCTATAAAAGCTGCAATGCATCATCATATGAAACAATTTTTTTAGTGTTCACAACAGTTCTGTGACATCACACTTCTTATTATTACCATTAGAATAAGGAACAAGAACTGTTGTAACTTGACACAATATTGAAAGAGAAAAGGGGGTGATGCCCATATCTGTCTGATTTAAACATATGTTCATCAAATTTGACCTTACTCTTATTGCAATTTTATAAATCCCAAGAAGTATAAGTTTTTAAAATTAAAATTATAATCAGTCCTATCATGAACTTTCATCTAAATAATGCCTTGGATAATTTAATTCTTTGGACATTTAATATGATTCAATCTATCATTTTTATTTTTTGCTTGCATTATAAGTGATAAGGCATTATAAAAACTCTTTGTTTTCATAAAGAGCAAATTATGAATCTTTCCTTCTACATTGTAAATTACATTTACACTTCTTGTGGCTTTAGAAGTAAGGCAGATAGATCATAAGGTAACAATGGCAGCAGAATTTGAAAGCTCCCAAAAAGAATTTCAGAATTCATAAACAAAGATAGATAATTAGGAACTAAAATAAGAGTGGTCAACATAAGGTCTAATCCATCTTTCCCCAAACCACTCTCCAAGGGTATGAGTCTTGTGTATTCTTTTGAGAACATGTGTTTTCAAAGATGCTATCATGGACTGAATGTTTGTGCCCCTCCAAAATTCATATGTTGAAACCCTAACTTACAATGTAATGATACTAGCAAGTGGGGACTTTGGAAAGTGATTAGGTCATGAGGGTGGACCCTCATAAATGGGATTATTGCCCTTATAAAAGAGGCCTCAGAGGGCTCTAAAGCTCTCTTTCTACCCTGTGAGGATCTGAGAAGTTAGTAGTTTGCAACCCAGAAGAGGATATACTGGAGTCCTGACCTTGGACTTGCAGTCTCCAAAAATGTGAGAAATAATTTTTTGTTGTTCATAAATTTCCCAGTCTGTGGTACTCTGTTTTAACAGCCCAACTTAAATAGGTATATCACCCCTTCTTGGAGATTTAGAAAATGCATTAGTATGTTAAAAGTCTTGCGAAGTCCTATAGTAAAGCTGCTTAACTTTGTTAACAGAGAATTTCCTGAATTTAACTTAGATTTCATACTTGATAGCAATATCCCATGGAATCTGCTTTTGTAAAATTGGACAAATGACAATTTTTTAAAAATTTAAAGATGTAATTCATATGTTTTCATTCATCATAATGAATACTATGAATACTATCCTTTAACTCAGTGATTAGTATATAGTTGACATTAAATATATGGTTACGTTTTTCTTCCTAGCATCCACCTATGCTTATTCTCATAATGGTATCAGCATTTAGCTTTGTGAAATTCCCCCTTCTCCAATCACTTTGTGACGTTTCCTTAGTGTTGACCTTTCCCACTGGTCAGGTCAGGTCAGGTCCAGCATATCAGAATATTCCATCCCACTAGACGTAGTGACTTGGTCAATGATAGGCATTTGACTTAAGCTAGATCAATGAGAAGGAACTTTGCTGGACTCATGGGAAACGAATGCATTCTTTGTGTTGTGATTGGTAAACTGGGAAAATGCAAGCCCAGATCTACTAGTTTCTATCTTGCCATTCTTTAGGAGACTCTGGCTTCAATGTACTATCACAAAAGAAAGAGACAATGGCACTACTGAACACCTAGAACCAGCTGTAGACAATATCAATATTTAAACATTTTTCTGTTACCTGAATTTACCCATTTGTTTATTTGGGTTGGGTTTCTATTAACTTGCAATCTAAAGAATCCCAAGAAATTAATACACATGACATGCATAAAAGACATTTCATAATCTGAATTCTTCTTTCCTCAGTCCTTTTTGCTTACTATCTTTTGGACCAACTACATGCCTTATGGTTATCTCCTAGGGATTCTTGTCTCTTAATTGAACATTCTTTATTGAAAACATATCAAACAATCTCAGCTTAAACTTTATTTCTTCTGGAAAGCCTTGTCTGATCTCATAATACCAAATGCCCTATAATTTTCTCTCATATTTCTGTATCTTTAACCCTTCAGAACACTTGCCATTCACACAGTACAACTTTGTCATCACTCATTTGTGAGTTTTTAATTCTTGATTAAGGAATTTTGGAGAATGTAAATATGTAAAGATAAAACCACGTAAAGAACAAAAAATATCAAGAGGGATCAATAGCAGCAGTCATGAACAGCAAGAGCAAAAAGTGGAAAAGAAACTTAACAGCTATAGAGTTAGCACTATCAAGTGTTTCAAGTGGCTGGAAAGCCCTTATATTTTAACTTGTAGATACTGAGGACATATTGAGAGTTGGAAAGTCTTTTAAGCTAACACAATAATGAGAGTATCATGGCAATGTAAGGTTTTGTGGGACTTAAGGAGAGGACTTTGTGTGTAATAGATGCTATATTTCCCTTCAAGGACCTGTTAGTCAGCTGTAGGAGTGGGGACAGCAGACAGGCTTAGTTAGCTATTCAGTTGCAGGGAACCTCCTTTCTTCTCCAAGCTCATTCTCTTCCTGGAACCTCCCAAATTCCGTGATTGACAGCAAGGAAGGGTTATAAATAGATGGCTTTTTCTGCCTGATAGAGAACAGTTTGGATGGCAATACCCACTAGAGCTCCCGGCCCAGTTGAGTGAAGTCTATTGGGTCTGTAGCCCACCTTGACTTTTCCATTTGCCAATTCTACTTATTGACCCTGCTTTTTATAGGGTTAGGTCCTTAAACACCATCTAGTACCCCAAATTCCATCTCAACATCTGCTTTCAGGGAATGAAACCTGTGATAAGATCAAAGAGATAGACAGTTGTCACAACTAAAGAGACATATACCATTCTCCAGGGAGAGGTTGGTCATTAAAATAAGAGTGACTGTTCAGAGCTCTCTCGACAAGTGGTTGAAATCATTTAGTGTATCATGCCCATATTTTTCTTTTTTTTAAAGAGAGAGAGAGAGAGAGAGAGAGAGAGAGAGAGAGAGAGAGAGAGAAAGAATTTTTTAAATATTTATTTTTAGTTTTCGGTGGACACAACATCTTTATTTTATTTTTATGTGGTGCTGAGGATCAAACCCAGCACCCCACTCATGCCAGGTGAGCACGCTATGGCTCGAGCCACATTCCCAGCCCATATTTTTCAATTAATAAAAAAGCTTTTGATGTTTCTAGTTAAAAATAATCCTACTTATCCTTTGCTTATTACTAGAAATGCTAAAACTAAGATGTACCATAACAACCAGGTGGTTACTATGGCAACACAGTCACACTGGGTGTAGAGATACAGCAACAGATTTTATTTCTTTTGTAAGGAAAGTTTTTGTATGCACAGTGCTAACCAAAAGGAATATGCATAATACATTTTGGTGACATTATCAACAGAAACAACATTCCAGAATTGTTTTGTTTCTCAGATTCTTTCTGTTTTAATAATAAGTACAGACTATTGAGTGCTCATAACATATTAGGCCCTTTCATAAACACTCAAGTTAGCAACTTACTTAATCTGTGAACAGCTACTTGAAGTAAGGATTTTTATTAGCATTTTCATTTTACAGATGGAGAAGTCATACTTATAAAATTTCCCAAAGTTACATGTATTCACTGTCAGAATTGATATCTGAATCTAGAAGTAGTCTAACTCATAGCATGTTATAATGCCCTGGGGTGGTCAAAAAAAAAAAATGGAGAATTCAAAGTTCTGTGGCAACCCATAGGGATCTTCTTAGGAAAGGTATATGGAGGAATTGGTCAAGCAATTGGAAAAGATACTCACTGTCATCAAGTTTGAACTTAAATACTTGTGATTTTAGATATTAGATTTTATAACATTTCTCTTTTTTGTTTTCTGACACAGGGGATTTGTCATCTTAAAAATCTAAGGATTCTAGACATAGCTGGAAATACTATTCAGATATTTCCACCAGGAGTAAGTAAAACCAACTTCTATTATAATTGAAAATAATTTTGTTGATGCTATTGGGAATAGAAAAATATGGGCAGCCAGTAAAAGCTGCAGTAACTGGAACCTTGAAGTATACAAATGACTCAAAGATTTGCTTTGCTCTTGAATTTCAAAACCTGTTCTTTTGATTCTTTGTATTCGGTGCCTGCTGAACTTATTTAAACAAAATGAACTCTGATTGCTATCATAAATATTTTAATATATCAGTTATGATTAAATTTTTTTGGTGGTTACTCATTGCTTTTGATCACCTCAGGTTTTTTGAAAACTACTACTTTACAAGGCATAAATTTTTATCCCTTGTAGTTAGTCCAAAGATGACACTTTTGTTAGTTGTTTTTAAGCTAAACCATGAAAATGCACTTTTTTTTCCATTTGAAAGTGAAGTTTGAACTTGTTTTACTTCAATAACTGAGAAACACTTTGTTTGATAACTTTTAACTTTTGAGGTAGAAATGCTAGTTTTTCCTATTGCGTGCGTGTGTGTGTGTGTGTGTGTGTGTGTGTTTGAGTGAACATACTTGAACATTCAAGGTGATAATCAGAAGTCCATTAATCCAGGGGATGCTCTATAAATAGCTGTTGATCCACTTTTTTTTCTGATTGATTGAATACAAATTGAGGTTTTCTTTATCATCCATGAGAAAAGTGAATGATTCAAATATGAAAAAAATGTGTGTATGTGGTGTGCATGTATGTACATATAAGCACATATACTTATGAAAATGTAATATTTACCATTTAAACCATCTTCAGTGTATAGTCTATGACACTAAGTACTTTCCCCAACTAAAATTCTTTGTCCATTAAACATTCCCCATTCCCTTTGTAGCACCCATTTTAGAGGTCTCTATGCACGGTTTAAAATAATTACCTTTTAAAAATAAGACTTCTCCCCCTCCTCTGGAAACCACCATTCTACTTTCTGTCTCTATTAACTTGACTATACTAAGCATCACATGTAAGTGCAATCATAGGACACTTGTCCTTTTGTGACTTATTTCATTTTTTATTATTTCAAAATGTCTCTAAAATTTATCCATGCTATAACATGTCAGAATTTCCTTGCTTTTTGAGGCTGAATAACATTCAATTGTATGTAGATACCCTGTTTTGTCTTCATTTATCTGTGCATGGACAATGGGGTTGTTTCTACCTTTTGGTCATTGTGACTAATGCATGTATAAATAGAGGCATGCAAATATTGGTTGTAGTTTGTACTTTCAATTCCTCTGTGTACATTCTCAGACATAGTATTACTGAATTACTAATTCCATGTTTAATTTTTTAAGGGTTTATTACATTGCTTCCAAAACTTACAGTTTTGAATATATAGGAACAGTTGGATGTTGTTAATGTGAACCTGGTTAATCCCACATGTTGGTATTCATCCTGCGGTCTTAATTTAACTCTCTGTACTTGGAATGCCTCCCTGACTTCCAGCGGAGCCTTCATGTGCCACTTCTTCCATGGGGCCACTGCAGCTGAGATCTCACAATGGAGTGAGTCTTTACAAGTCTGTCTTTTGTTAGACGGTATGCTCCACCAAGAAGGAGTGCATTTTAAAAAACTTTTATCCAGAAGAATCTTGAATATCAACTTCATATATATTTCTTAAATGAATAAATTTAAATAATTTTCTTTAACTATACTCAGTATTCACCTTAGTGGTGCTGTTAATTAACTTTTTCTTCTACAAAGTGATTCTGTACTCACAATTTTGATGACACACCATGAGTTAGGTTCCAAAAGTTTAAAATAATTGGGTCAGTTTTGCCTTTATAGCACCTATTTCAGAAATTTTAATAAGCACTCTAAAATGAGATAGTCTATGAACTCATCTGAGCTTTGGTGCAAAAATAATTCACCTCAAATTTTTATAAATGATTTTTCTTTTTTAAAAAAGTAATAATTTGCTTCAAATTATTTTGGACAAATTGGTGCGAAATTGTTTTCCCACATTTGATAGATGGAGTTACTAATGAACAAATGACAAACACAGAGGAATGAATGAATGTAGGCCATGAGCATCAGTGAAATTAAGTTTCAAAGTGATGGTAATGAACTCTAAAAACATTGACATGTTTTTTAGGTAGAATAGTAGAGAAATGAAGATCATGGACTTTGGAATCATACATACATAGGTTTAAAGGCCTAATTTCTCATTAGCTAAATTTATAATCTCAAACAAGTTGCTTAACTTCTGAGATGCCGTTTCCTCATCTATTAAATGGATATATTAAACCACAAACTTCGTAAGGTTATTAAGTCAGATAATGCTTATAAATAATTTTGTACATAATTATCTACAGAAGGGAAACTGTTATTATTATAAGTTGCATATAAAAATATACCAATACTCAAATGTTAATCAGTAATATGTAATTAGAGCTATCTTTCCCTGTCTACTGGTGATAATAGGAGGCATTAACCTTGTATAGTACATTTTAGATTTTTTTTTACTATAAAAATATTCAAACATACATAAATCAGGAGTGAAGCTAAAATCTATGTACCTTTTACTTTGAAGCATACTTTAATTCCAAGACTTGAAACTGTTTTCTGCAGAATTATCTTTACATGGTTTACTTTATTGCCTTACAATTGCTCCCTCTTAAAAAGACAGATCTTTATAGAGGATTATTTAACAATTTTATGACCTAAAATTTGTTGTGCCACCTGGAAAATGCAATTATTTTACAGTAATATATTTTTTTATTCACAACAGCTTTTATATAACCGAGACTGAATTTTCATCAGGACTTTTGTATAAAAGTGTACATTAAGTGGAAATCTCTAAAAGTGTACATTAAGTGGAAATCTCTAACAAGAAATGGGACATTATAAATACTTGTTTATATGCAATGACTCTAAAACTTTTTAGATTATTTAATTATGGAGAAAATTCTGCCATGCATCACAGAGTAAAGTAATTGTTTTGGAATTAAATGTGTCAAGACTTCTCCTTTTTTCCTTTATTTTTTTTAAAGTTTTAAATATTATATAAATAATGTATCCTCCTTAACATTTCAAGCAATACAAAAAATATGGAATAAAAATGAAAGTCTTCATTTCCAGGACCTCTCCATGTGTATGCTTTTAGAAAAGTCTGCTGAAACAGTTTTAAAAATATTATAATATGTATTCTGTTTTAATTTTTTCATTGCTGCAATCAAAAGACCTGAAAAGAGCAATTTTAAGGAGGAGACGTTTACTCTGAGGCTCATGGTTTCAAAGGTCTCAGTCCATAGATGGCAAACTTCATTCTATATGGTGGTGGTAGAATCATGTGATGGAAGAAAAAGGCTCAGGGAATTGCACCAAGAAGCAGAGAGAACTCTGCTCAACGGACTATACACTCCAAAAGCACCCTCAATGACCCACCTCTTTCAGCCATATCCTACTTGCCTACTGTTACCACCTGGTTAATCTTTATCCAGGGATTAATTCACTGATTGGCTTAAAGCACTCATAACCCAATCATTTCACCTCTAAAATTTCTTGCATTTCTTCACACATGAGATTTTGGGGGACACCACATATCTAAACCATAACAGTTTCATTATATTCAATTTTCAAGTATATTTTTTCTTTCTGACAAAGTACTATCCAAATATTCAAAAGATGCCATCTACTATTGAGAGAAGCCAAAACTCAGGTTGATTTGATCTGATTTATCAGCACACATTTTAGTACATTCTCAACTCTTCACATAAAGTTATTTGTTATCTAATTCCTTTCTAAAACACATAAAATTGTTCACCTTAATAGTTTGCAAAGTGTCCTCTGGTTCTTGGATGAATAGGTATTGTTAAGATTTATTTTAAGATAATTATTGTCTTTCTACTCATTTAACTTGCTTGTCTTTCCGTGTCTCTAGTAAGTAGAAGTTTACTGGAAGCTTTTATAGAAATAATTCATTCACTGTACAAAATGTAGAAACTAAATAAGAATAGGAAGAGTTAAATGCTGTTTTAGTCAGCTTTTTTACTGCTATGGCTTAAAGACCCAAGCAGCACAATTACAGAGGAGGAATAGTTTATTTGGAGGGCTCACAGTTTCAGAGGTCTTATCCACAGAAGGCCAGCTCCATGCCTCAGGGCTCAAGGTGAGGCTGGACATCATGGAGGGATAGTGTGGCAGAGGGAAGCAACTCACATCATGGTGATCAAGAAGCAGAGAGAGAGAAACTCCACTTGCCAGATACAATTATGTACACCAAAGCCATACCCTAATTTCCACCGTCTCCAGCCATACACTACCACTTCATTTACCACTCAGTTAATCCCTATCAGGGGATTCAATCACTGATTGGGCTAAGACTCTTAAAATCTGATCATTTCTCCTCTGAACCTTCTTGCATTGTCTCACATGTGAGCTTTTGGGGGATAACTCATATCCAAACCATAACAAATGCTAAGTACTTTTAAATTTACCTCTCAGTGGTGACACTGATATTTTCTTCAAGCATCTTATTTTTATAAGTTCACTTTAAAAATAAAATGGAGAGTACACTTTATAAAAGTCTGTTTTTTGTAAAGAAAAGAGATTTATTTTGGTTCATTGTTCTGGTCCCATGGTGAGGAGCTCTATCTAGATGGCCTTTTTGCTGATGGAACTCCAGGGCAGCAGAAAGTGTGTGTGTGTGTGTGTGTGTGTGTGTGTGTGTGTGTGTGGGTGGGTGTGTGAGAGAGAGAGAGAGAGAGAGAGAGAGAGAGAGAGAGAGAGAGAGAGAGAGAGAGAGAAAGGGAGAGTATATATGTCTTATTGTTTTAACATTATATATGGAACATTTTCTTTAATCAAATATTTTTCAAATATTTGATTTTTAATCACTAGGTTTATCATATGTTTACTTTTCCTTACATTTTAACTTATCACTGGAGTTAGATTATATTTTGAATGAACAAACTTTGAAAAAAGAGTGGTCTGAAAAAAGTGTCTTTTATTTGCATTTCTCTTTG